TTATAACTAAAACTTCCTTACAGTTTAAAATTTGCTAAATACTCCTGGAGGAAAATGGTTCCTTTAGAAGAAATGAAGATTTTAGGAATACTTTTGCCCCCATACTTGAATAGAAATCTATCTTAGTCACGAAAGAAAAATAATTTGTGTAGAGAGTTGGGAAACTATGGTTCACATATTACACAAAATATTCATTTTAAACTTCTGATCACAGTCTTGAAAAGTACACATTGCCAAAAGCTGCTGGCAGACTACAGAATGTAATAAATAAACATAGGCTATAAAAGACAACTCAATATTTTATTCATAACATTTGAAAGAAAAAATTATGGCCTGAACTTACCCATTTTTACAAATTGAAGAGTACTTACAACCACGTGGTGTCTCTATAGTAATTATGATTTGAAAGTGAACTATGCTGGTAGTTTCTGGAAGCTACCAGCATAGAGTTTAGCACTCATCATGAAAAAATCTAGGACCTATAAGTAAAATGACATAACATTGTTTTGGGTAAAAAAAAAAATTGTCTTGGGTAGAGCACGTAATATGTGAAGTACTGATACTTTCTTGGAAAGTCTGTTGTCACTTCTAGTTTTTATTTTAAAAATAATACATCATATTTATAATTTCATATATTTAACAATATGTGTATGCAATAGAAAAAATATAAATCGAGGAATTTCACAGCTATAATATTTACTTGTAAGGCAGGAAGAAATTAAATTAAGGTGACTAAGACATTTGAGAATTTTAGCATTCTCTTTAGCTGTGAATTTGACATTTTTATCCGATTTGTTGGCTTTTGGAAAAGGAGAAGGTAACAAAGATAAAGTTGAGCAAGACAGCAGAGGTACAATTTGCAAAAACATGATACTGAATTATGTTTGGGATCTTAAACAAATAATTTCCTTTGTCTGAAATTTGTCTTCTAAATCTCCTCTAAGGAGAATGCAATATTTTTAGTTGCTTAAGAAATCAATTAAAATAATGATCTTAAAATTTAAGATAAACCAGTGTTAAAATTGATAAACCAGTGTTGACCACTTGTCTGAGACAGTTCCAGAGATCAACTATCCTATATTCTTCTTCTTCTTTTTTTTTTTTTTTTTGTGGAACCAGAGATTGAACTCAGGCCCTTGCACTTGCCAGGGAAGTGCTTATTCCACTGAGCCATCTCCCCGGCCCCTGTCCTTCATTTTTAATGTCTTTATCTTACATTGCCACTTCACATTAGCTGCCACTTAAATAACATCCTTACTTCTCAACTTGCCACCTTTGTGTTTTTCTGACAGATAAAGGAAACTATAGTTAAGTTATTCTGCGCTTTTGAGGATTCTGTAAGGCGTTGCAACTCCTGTTTCACAAGATTGTCCTAATGACCTAGTAGTACTTGTCAGTGCATTACTGAATGAACAAGCAGGTAGTGGGCCGGACCAAGCAGCTGCCCTCAGTGGTTCTTGGTGTCTTGCTTTGGCATTTTAGCAACTTGCCACCTAGTTTCAACTACTTGTGGAATAATGGATGGACAAAAGAAAGTAAAATGAATACCAGAAAGAGAAACAAGACACCTCATTAGAAACATCACTAACAAATACCTTTGAACACAGACTACTTTGATAATGAGAAGTGTTTCGAAGGCCTTAGTTGCCACAAGCAGAAGTTGTTCAAAGAAACAGGAAACTTTCTGTCATTTCACACTTATTTAGCAATGTTCTGAAGCAGAACCATCTAACCTGCCCTAAACTGCTCCAAACTATAAAACAGCACACAAAATTATGATAAATTTATTGCTTAAGTTTTATTGCAACTGGCGTATAATGAACAAACTATATAGCAATTTTAGAAGAAAAACATTAATTTCATAGAATGTTAGAATGAAGAAAAGAATCCATCTCTGAGCCCCAAAGGCGAACTAAGCTTTCTAAATCTTCCAAAGGCTCATTCAGCTTTTCAGCACTGCACAGCCTTCAATAACTCAGAGATCGTAGACAAGCAGGGAGACCACAAGGGAAAAAGTGGCCAGTAAAACATGTCATTTTTCATGTTGCCGCTGAAAAAAAGAAAAAGAAAAATAGAGTTTTATTGGATTCCTTTGCAGAAAAGAACTATTTGGGTTATCCATAACTATTTTATAGACATCTATTATAATTTTAATATGCTGCAATATAGTTATTCTTAAATATTTTGAAGCATACCTGATGGTATTTATGATGCATTCATTGTTAAGACATGGGTCAGAAATCCAGCATTTATTTTTAAACTATTCCTAAAGGAAGCCATAATCTGCTTCATAAACTTTCTTTATACTATGGTTTCTGGGAGC